GAAAAATGCTATTTTAAATAGAAATGCTATCTGTCCTGAGGGCTTGAGGTTTTATTGACCTAGGTTAAACTACAGCAAATGAGTTGTGATTAATAACTCTCAGAACAATTCCTTTTGCACTGAAAATCTACAGCATTAACACACAGTCCCTATCAGAAAACCTCTCCCATTCCAGTTAGTTCCTTACATACGTCTCAGTGTTTTTATTGTCTCTACCTTCAGTTGATTATCTCAGAATCACTGGGATTGTTCAATAAAAGTTTAACCGTCTTGCGCTATTAATGTGCCGGTGCTCCATGTGGAGTGCTCGTTTCCTTCCTTTTATTGAACGCCAAACGGAGGGACACAATGGGTGTGTTGTGCTCTGTCTAGCACGGAACGTGCGATATCTTTAAAAAGGAGGTGTGAGCTGGCTTTAATACCACTACTCTTAACAGCACAAGCACCACAAACTAATCAACCACAGCACTGGGGCATGCAGTCCATTGAAAGCTGGTGAAAAAGCTGCTTTTTATTATGACCTACATACTGCACAGCAGCAGTTGGACAATTTAAATCTAACGCTGAGGCTGAACACAATGCAAGGAATCCACTAGTGATGAACTCCGTGATGTAAGGCAAACATGCTCACGAGTACTATAATATTCTATTTCACCCACGCTATCCTGATAATAAAAAACACAATGACAATCCAAACAGAAAAAAAAAAATAATCCTTGCCTTTTAACAGAATTATCTGCTAAAAAATTTATCATCTGTTGGAAGCATCCTTCTGAATCAGCAACCATATGGAACACAGCTCACATCGAAACGTTTAAGGACAACGCAGACAGATCAATGAATTCAGCAACCACTCTAAACCAGCCGACCTTCCAAGGCACAGACACCGAGAGAAGCTTGCTTCTTGCCCGAAGTTGTGCCCAGCTGTGCCACAGACCCGCACCAGCCCGTGCCCAGGTACCTCTCCCGCAGCAGCCGAGGCGCGCGGCGGCTCCCTTTTGTGGCCGAGTCCAGCGGCAGCAGCTCTCCCTGAGGGAGCAGCCCGGGAGCCGCAGCGGGGCCG